TGAAAAAAAAGCATTGGAACTCAACTTTAAAAAAAAAAAAAAAAAAAAAAAAAAAAAAAGCAAGTGTAAATATTATACAAATATTAAGGAGTAGAAGCTGGTTTGTTTTATTGGCATAACTTTTACTTTCAGCTGGCTAAATAACATGCTAGCTAATGAAGAGTGTTATCTGCTTGATGAAAATTTATTTCTTAAAGGAAAATCAGAAAAACTCATTAAAATATATGCAGATAAGTAGGTCATAAATGTCACACGGTATTGAAAAAAATGAAGTCAACGGAAAGTGGTAAAAAGAAGAAAATTGAAAAATTATTCATCCATCAACAACACGACATTGAAAGTGTGGAAAACATATTCAAGTTCAGAAATTTAGCCCTTGCTAGTGTAAATAGGACTAAACAAATACGTAGTAGATATACACAAATTTTCATTGAAATGTATGCAGAATTAACTCCTTTATCCTCTTTTGTTTTCATTATAGCTACATAAAATTTGGGGGAATAATCTCCCTGTGAAAATCTTTGGGATCTCCAATCTCTCTGAAACCAATTATGATCTATGAGAGTTCAAAAATCTCACCCTTCCTTCCATCTTGATGCAAGAGCTTGTTAGTAACTGACAGTACTGAATGGTCTTCTGCACCAGTTTATGTATCAAATGGTCTTTCTTCAACTTGGTCTATGTAGAGCTGGAGAGGCTACCTGCTTCAGATTTCCATGTAATATAACACAAAAGTTAATGGGTAGGGAGGTAGCAATATCAGAAAATCAGCAAGCTGAATTGAGGTAGTTTCCCCATTGTTCTGTGAAATTAGCGTCTTACTCACAGTTGCTTTCCGTAGATTACTGTATGATTGGCAAAAATGGCAGAAGTACTCATAATCCACGCCGCATTGTTTCTGAAGTAACCTTAAACATGTCTAAAAAGAGTTCTTTCATCGCCAAATGTAATCTATGAATAGGTGGGTTAAGCATCTTTCAGTTGCCAATATTGCCCAAGTGTGGTGTGAGAAAATCTAATTCCTGTTAAAGTTTATGGTTCTCCTCCAACTGAAAATCTGTTGACTTAAAAAATACTCGTATCAATTGACTGAAAAGGAATGATATATAAAATAATTTGAGGTGATATGAAGGTTATGATGTACTCTGGCCCAGCTCAAAAATATTTTTGTCATATATTTTTTAACTATATATAGATACTGAATGATTTCTCTAAATGATTTCTTCTCCTCTTAAGATTTCATTTATAGATTGGTGGTATGTAGAATTTCTGCTTTAAAAAAAATAAAAACTTTAACAAACTACAAAAGAAGTGATCATTTGGCAAATCCATTTTAGCTTTGCCCTAAGAGGGGCTCCATGCCTAGACACTGCTGACAAAGAGTCTGCAGTAATTGGAGATCTGTAAAGTTCCTTTGAAAGAACTCCCCAACCCCCCTCATTTCCTCTATATGTAGAACAAGAAAAATTTACCACAAAAAAGTCTTACACTCTTTATAAAATTAATACTATCTTTGTAAAGGTTCTTACAGCTTTTAGCTGAGTGAATTTAAATCTTCTACCATCAACATGGAGCTTACAAAGGAATAAATAATATGACTCCCTAACCCCGAAATTTGGGATTTAAACCTCTGATTGAATCTGGCTTTTAAAATAAGCAGAGTGACTACAGCTGGTTTATAAATAAGCACATAGTGACCTATATGTTAACCTGCTCAAAAGTAAGTTATGCATATTGTCTCAGCCAACACAAACACACCCATCCCATTTTTCTGGTTTACTTGTCTAAAAACTGTGTGATTTTTGTGCTTAGGTAATTTATCTAGGCAGATCAGTTTCTTTTGCATGGCTTATTTGGGCCTCAGAGGATTAGCAAAGTTTATATATTGAAAACATAAGGAAAGAAAGGCGAGAAAAATGAAAAGAAAAATTAATCATATAGTACATACATCAATACAATATATTCTAAATCTCAATCAGTTGTTTATTGGTTGGCAAACAAGTTTCACTTTTACAACAAATATTAGTAATGAGGTCATCCAACTTTGAGACCATACAAAATGGATCATAAATTTAAAAAAAAATTATATGTGCTAATTTACTTCTTGTATTCCTACATTACTTAAAATCCTGTCAAATAAATAAATTTTCCTGTTAATAAACAGAAGACTTTTTTTAAAAAAAAAATCACTTCAAAATAATTGACCTTTCAATTCTTACTACGAGGGAGTGAATTTCCTCTAAAAATTGGTAGTGCAGGTGCCCACTTGGGGATCAGACTGAGCATTCAGCACTTTAACGCCTATGCAATACCGTTTTTTCACATGCAGAAGCCCCACTAGTTCTATAGACACCTCTTGACTTCTAGAATCATAGCTACTGTCTGGGTGATGAACTGCTTGCCAAATATTCCTCGCATTACAACAGATGTGCCTGAAAAACATAAAGGTTTGTCCTGCTCTAATTTGCAAAAATGCTGTTGGAAATAGTCTGACTGAAGAAAGATATATAGTGAGGGAAGGAAGTCTAATTTTATTTATTTTATTTTTTTTGTAAAAAATAATTTGTTTGCATTACTAGAAAATGATTCTTATAAAGTGATATTTTCATTTATTTATTTATTTTTTGCCAGGTGAGATTTTAAAGAAAAACAAAGGCAAAAAAAAAAAAAAGAAAGAAAGAAAAGAAAAAAGAAAAGAAAAAGAGAAAAGAATAAAAAGAAAATGCAAGAAGAAAGAGAAGAAAGAATAAAGGAAACTTTGCTCTCTCACTGGTAGACAAACTTGCAAGACCAGCACGAAAGAAAAAGAAAAAAATTTTTTTTTCCACTACATTAACAGGACTCAAATTCTGGAGGAACAGAAAGCAGACTATATGTGCAATGCTAGTATCTGTACATTACATAGAAATTGTTCAATTTTTTTTTCTGCCATTAGTTGTATCATCAGTTAATACAGCAAATCATAAAATATGCATTTAGCATATAATTCTAGAATTTCCCTCCATTTTATGATTAATTTTCTTCTTTTGTGGTCCACAGCTATTCCCGCTGTGGCCAAATCAGTTGTGAGTGACCAAAAACCACTGGTGATACGGTTTTGCTTCATTTTCATGTTTGCTTGGGCAGCACACTCCGATCAGATGCAGCATTGTTACTAAGTCCAAACAACTGTTCTGGCCTTTGAAAAAGCAGGTCCTTGTCATTATAGTAACAGAGCATCAGAGATGTTAAAACAAACACAACAGAATTCAACAAGGCCACAATGAGCGCCGTTTTTCTTCCTCGTCTCTCGTTCATTAACATAATGAAGTCTCCATCTGCGGGTGGGGGGAAAGAACAAGAAAGAATAGAGGAAGTTCAGGGAACATTTCAGGGGAATTTCAGCAGTTATCCTTCTCCCCTTGGCTGACCTAAAAATCCCAGTTTAAAAAAAAAAAAAAAAAAAAAGTCGTAAGAGTCCGTGGTTGTCTTGTTGAGAACAGCATATAAAGATTTAGGAGTACACACGTGATTACCACTGCTGATACCAACTCGGAACAGTCCACAAGGTGTTCGCAGTTCTGGAGGTTGGAACTTCGGTGTCATCTTCTATAGGCTAGTGACCAAATGAGCAGGTCCTTTCGAGCTTCCCTCCGGAGGGGTCCCCTCTTTGTTCGGAGGAACTATAAAGCCATCGCTGCTGCCGCGCCCCAGCTGGTAGTAGGTGTGCAGCTGCTGCACGTGGTTTCTGGAGCCCAGGTTTGGCATGCTTTTGTAGTAAACGTCTTCGGCATCACCACCTTTGGCCGGCGGGGGTTCGGTCTGGGTGCTGGTGGTGACGCTCTCTGCGGCGGCCACACCAGCCAGAGCCGGCATGCTGGTGTAGAGGGAGTCCCTGTGGGGTGACTGCAGATCTTCCGTGTGCTCGTTGGTTAGCAAAGGGAAAAAGCTCTCACTGTGGTCTTGGGGGATCCGCCTTCTGGTGTAGTGGTGTGGCTGGTGGTTCTCGGTGGAGTACACTCGTGGGGGCAGCAAAGGAGCATCCGATTCCTCGTGAATGAGTTCCAGGCCCAAACTCTCCTCGTGATTAAATGAAGTGGCATCATCCAGGACAATGGCATCGTCTTCGCTTCCGCTGGCAAGGTTATTCACCAGCTTGTTCATCAGATTCCTGTTCTGTTCGCTAGAGCGCTCGTGGTTGTTCAGGTAGGAAGGGATATAGTTGGACGTGAGTTCCTTCAGAATCTTTTTCTCTAGGGCGGTCTCGTTGTGGGTATAGCCACGGTCTATGATTTGCACACAGTTGCTCAGGTACTCGCCGCTGGCGATGCTGTAACTATTGCCATGGTTACCATTCAGTGGTAGAGTATCCATGACACTTGTATCCCTGGCATTGTTCAGAAGCCCCTCTGAAAAAGATTACAAGACACTATGACATTGATATCCAAGAGGCCGTGGACACACACACACACACACACAAAAGCAAAAAAGTTCATCCACTATGAAAACGTATAAGCTGCTAGCATTTTTATTTAAGTATAAAACAATTGGAAAGAAACAAATACTCTTAAATCTGTATGTACATTGCTGATGCATATGTATATAACTGGGCAATTGGTAGAAATCGTACAAATGGTAAAGAAGTATTTAAAGTAAACTTTCATTGAATAAACATCCCTATATGTTGTAAATTTGCAATTTTCACGCCAACACTGCCTGACGTTATTTGAAGTATATTTGGTTATCACTTGGGCAAAATAATGCAAAATTTTGGTGTCTTCATTTCTGACTTTCAATTTATACACAGCAAAGTCAAATCATTACCTTTAATTTTACATGACATCTGAATGTTCAAATAGCTGTCACATTAACATAATTCATGTTGATAATTTGAATATACTGGTCAAAAGTAAAAGAAACAAGCAGTTTCTACTTATTTGACCTGTAACTTTTTGTAAGGTTAAAAATAATCCTTACACACAAAACCATAAAAGGGTGTGTTAAATTTGGCAGGATGATAAGGTAATGAAATAAGGTTTAGTTAAATAAATGGCACATCAAAATAATTTACATGTAGGGACTTTCAAACCAAAACAATTTGGATTTCATTTCAAATCTGTTTTCTGCTGTAGGCACTTTGGTTATTTAATAGTAAGTCATTAATGACTGTTCAGGGCTATTAAGTAATACTACAGAAGATGTGTTAAAACACAGGGCTCTGAGTCCTAAAACATAGTGTCAACATTACTGTTACCATTATATAACAAGCAATGACTTTGTGTGCATTTTAAACTTGGAATTTAAAAGAAGATAAACATTTTATTTTGGTCAGAATCAGCAGCAGTGAAATAAATTTGACCACATACTTCAAGGGTTTTGCATTCCCTTGAATGAACAGAAATCCAAGGATCTATAATAGTTTCATAAATCACTTCAAATTCAACCACAAAAGAAAGAACACATTTAATCAATACTACTACATAAGATAGGGTGTTTCTTTATAGAAAAATTCATTGAAATATTCTATTCAACTTTTCAATTGCTAACTTGTGAAAATACAGCCTTCATTCTATATCTGTGATGCAGTTATGTTTATCAAAACTCAACTAGTTCACTGCTGGCTTAATTGAAGTATCTCAAATATGTCAATTTTCATATGGTCTTGTGACACGCACGCCATAATCAGGTAAGCCAGTTTTCAACAACAGCAACGAAGAAGGTACCTTAATAAGCAGCACTCACAGACATAGGGTGAAGGGGTTTATTTTCATGTTATATCTTGTAGACAAATCCACAATGTTAAGGAAAAAAATAAAAGTAAATGCTTTTTAAAGGGCTGTATGTGATGGGTGGTTGCTGTGGCAGAGGCAGCTATGGTATATGCGTGATGGTTATGGTTGGGTGGCTGATGCATTGAAACTCAAAATTCTTCAATTTCTGTTGTCAATGCATTAGATGCAGGCTGAAAACAACCATAGTAAAATAAAGTGGGTATGTTGCATGTGACACATTTTTAGGATGGAATGTACTACTAAAAATTAAAAGTTGATGAGTTACTTAGCAAAAATAAATGCTTAATTTAAAAACAATTTAACTCACACAAACATCACACGAGACTTAACAACTATGTTGATTATGTGACAATAAAAGAATCAGACAACAAAAGCGTCTAATCTCTATTAACGTATATTTATATAAGTCGATTCATAGGCTCTTTTAGTTTTTAAATTGTGAGATGAACTGTTTTTAATAACTACATCATCTATATGTGATGCAATAAAAGTGAACTAAAAAAAATTACATTTGATATGCAATGTTTAGCTTTACTCCCATACTTGTCTCTCTGTAGGGCTCTAAACGACAGCATGAAGAAAAGGAAAGAAAAAACAAGTAAGCTTAAAGCGACAGTAGAAGAAACATGAGTAAAAAGCAAATTGATGATATGCAGAAAAAAGAGTCAAAGGAAATAATTTCCACTGCCCCAAAATTCATGAGTCTGTGTTACATGGTTTTTCATAATTAAAAATACTGAAATGTTAGTCAGAAAATAAGAAACCCCCCTTAACACATGCTACCATAATGTCTTTAATAAGCATTTCTACCATTTGTAACTTTCAAGCAAATACACACATGTTCAAGTTAAGATTGTCACACAAACCAAGAAGAATAAAACCTGAGGACAAGCCGTGACTATTTTTTCACCACTCTATTTCCGTATTACATATGTGTGTGTACGTAAGAGTATATCTGCTTCTAAGGCTTGCTACTGGTTTTTAAGTCTCAGTAAAATTATAAATAAGATCTTATCTGAGATATCAAGAGAAAACCAGACTTAAAGGTTTTCATAATCATACTTTTTTCTCCTCCCTCATGTATTTTCTCTCACCCTGCACAAAGGTTATTTTTCCCCATTGGACCTATACACACATTTCTTATGTGTATAACAAGTGAAAACTGATAAATACTGTCATTTTTGGAATCCCTATTCAAAAGTTGTGTAACTACTGAGGAAACAAGACAGTTAAATTCATTTATTATTCTGTCTCAAGAATATGTGAGGGGGGGAAATACCAGCATCAGTATCAGGTTTTCTCATGGACTGTTGCACAAGGGAATGCAATCAAACATTTTGAGAATGGATGCTTTAAAAACAATCCTAGCAATTTTTTGTTTTAAGGAAAAAAACTCATGTTTTAATCAGGTCAAAAAAATATCTCTTGTTTATTTTATTTATAGAAAGGTTAAAACATCACAAAATAAAGCCCAGCAAATTCACTGGGCTAGATCATGTTAGGGGGTCCAAACTTGTTGTTGTTTAACCACTTTTTCAAAGAGACAGTTTTGTACTTTAAAGGTGGATTTACTTCTTAGCAAAAAAGACAACAATATTTCAAAATGCAGAAGATCTATTTTAAAATTTCAAAATACTTTACAATAAGAATTAAAATAAAGAGCCAAACCAGTATATATCAATAGATATACTGCATGTGACACATTTTTAGGATGGAATGTACTATGAGAGGTTTTAGAAAAGGTCATGGAAAATTCGTATTATGAAAAAAAAATATGCTTAGATTTCAAATTTTTTTTGGACCAAAAGTTCAAAATTGAATTCCATTTTCCCATGAAGTTTTCGAAGTTCCCTTGTAAATGCCTGTAGGCTCATTATGGCTCATTGTTTAAATGAGAGAATTATAAAACTGGAAAGCACATGAAAGAGAAATCACTGAGGCTCAATTCCTGCTTTTCAGAGAGGAGGAAACTGCAGTAAAGAGAGGATGGGCCTAAGCGAGTGGCAGTTAGCTAATATGGCAGTGCTGTGATCAAAAAAGGAGTCTTCTAGATTTTTTTCCAACTCTCTTTGTTGTAATTTCCTTCTCTTCACACCTGCTTTGGCTTTGGAAGCCATAATAGAATATTTATATACTTCATAATATAATCTTGCATTCTTAACAACTGTAATGTATTCTTCACTATATTCTGTCCCATGAATGTGCATCTTTCTTTTACATTTTGGAACTGAATTACTTTAATACATAAATTATGTTAGTAAAATCATGACTTCCTCTGTATATTATGTTTTGTTGACAGGCTTTTCTATAATGATTTATCTTTCCAAAAGCAGAGTTGCTAATACTGAAAAGAAGATAATGGTCCAGAGTACTATGCATGAAATTTTACATATTTCCACAGAGAGAATTCCAAATTCAATGTGATAAAAGTATATTATCCATCTTTATTCCTAACTTTATATATTTTAAGAACACTACAGACATATCTTTACATATTTGAAATAAAGGCATTATAAACAAGAATGGATACTTGAAATCTGAATGCTTCTAGCCTACGGAACATTGGTGCAAGTGAATTAGAGGACCCACAGAACAGAACCAAGTGGTAATTCAACATAAACCACTCCAGTACATACCGAGCCACCTATATTTCATGTAAGATTTCACCTTGCCAGTAAGAATATAAGTGCATTCATCTGAAAGTATAAGATTAGCAGCAATATGACAATCACCAAGATTTATTTTTGGTCAGTGGTAAAAAGAATTATTTTAAACACTACCACAGTTTTGTAACATCTTAAAAAAAAATGAAAACATGAAATAGTGGAACAATTTCACCTTTGACTCTGAAAAACATTGATAAAATTATTTACTTTTGTTTTAGAAAATTCAGTAGAGTTTATTGAACTTGCTGAAATAAAAGACAAATCCATTTAGAGGAATCATTTTTGTATTTACTGATAATCTTAATAGCAATAACAAGCAATGTCACAGGGATAACCTTTGTTATCTATATAGTATTATTTTAAATATGCATTGTGAGCACTTCAAATTGATAGTTTTTATGGAAGTATCCCATCCTTGGTAAAATTTCCTTCTTTAGAAAAACCCTCTTCCTTAGAAATATTCCCTACTTGAAAAATAAAGATGAGAAGGCAGATGTTGAATTAGGGAAAACATACAGTTTAATAGTTATTACTTTTTCAGTATGTAAGTAATTAGAAATTATACTGGAGTAATCAAAAAAGCTAAACAAAACGGGATCCAAATTTATTACCTGTTTTAAAATAATTACCAATAACTCTTCTGTTCAAGGTAAAAAATGTAAAATACATTTAATTTGCAGGTATGTTGCAATGTTTAATGTCATTACAAATTTAGTAGCATGTCAGCAAACTTTAAAATGTTTGTAATGATACAATTACCTGTCACTGGGCCTAAGGAAGATAAAGAAAAAAACAAAACAAACCTTTAGAAGGTCTACTAATGTGTTCTGCCAGACCTCATTGGGTACCTCAGGTAAAGTACAGTTCATTGAGTGCTACAGTGAAACAGGGGCACTGACAAATGAGAGACAATTTAGAGGGGGTAAGCATGAAGAAGGACTGAGAAACTGTCTCATGTAGATGGTTCTGTTTTATTAGGGAAACAGAAGACAGCTTAGCTGGTTTTATTAGGGAAAAGGAAGACAAGTTAGATGTTTTCAAGCATTTAAAGGATTGCCACATACAGCAGAAGAATCTCCTTGCTCTAAAAGGGAGATCTAAGTATCATGGCCAGCTCAGTGTAAGGACCTATGTATATTCCAAATAGAGCATTTCGACAACAGAATATATGAGCTCCTGAGGTGGGAAGTGCCCCATTAGAGGAAATACTCTAAGCCCAGCTGATAGGATAATAGCAATGATGAAAAGAGGATTTAATGAGCTCTATCCTTTCTTCTGACTCTACAAGTCTATCATTCTTAGATATGTAGGCCTTAATAAGTTTGATAAAATTGAAAGTTTGCTGAATTATTTTGTTGCATTGACAAACATCTTGACCTTTGAATGACTGGCTTGGGTATTTTTGAAATGATTAAAAATCCCCTCTTGTATCTGGCAAGGTGTCAGTGGGGAAGTTGAGATGGTTTCAGATGCCCAAAGACCATGGTGGAAAAAATGTGTGCTTCTCTAGAATGGTGCATTCAAACCAAGTTTTACCCACTCACGCCCCTGATCTTTAACCTCTAATTGAAAAGAAAAAATATAAACCCTACAGTTTTCCACAGAGGATGAAAATTTTATTCTGAATTGCCTGGAAAATTTACATACTGCTAAACTATCACATCCTGTTTGAAGGAACCATGAAAGTCTTTTTGTTATTTTAATTTTTCTTTCAAATACAATTTTAAGTAAACGAATCACTGACTCGAATTGTTCTTTTACTGTACTTTTGGTTGAGTAAGGTTTTTTTGTGATCTCTTCACATATGCCAGAAATATCTTAAATTTCATGTGTCCCTAACACGTCATTATACTTAGAGAAAAGGTGAAGCCATGCCCATATAATTATATACTGCATGGTTTTACAGAGATCTAGGCTTATTCATTTGTGATATAATGACATTTTTACAATGATTTTTCAAGCTGGAGGATATACCAAGAATCCATATTCATAAGCCTTGTTTCTCTTTTAACACATAGTCACAGTAGAAGAAGCAACTTTGTGATCCTATGGGGGCTGTTCGTCTAGACAATGGCAGAGCCAAGGCAGAACCCAAGCTGCTCCTGTGCAGTTCTTTCCTCTGCCGCTGAGCTCTACCGAATTTTCCCTAGAGTTATCTAAATCCCTTCATCAGTGCTAATGCTGTGTGTCGGAGCATGTTTCATGGTATAAAAAAGTAAGATGTATTTTCTTCATCTTACAACGTTGAGACTACGGAGTCAAGTCTTCCTTTATCTTACTTACCTTAGGCAAATCATCTCATTTCTCAACAAAAATACACAAGTTTTTAATATAGAAATAAACAAACCCAAAAAAGTACTGACAATCCACAATACATTTGATAACACTACAGAGATACAAACATACATGGATGAGTCAAGTGCTTATCAGAAGGAATCCATTTCTTACTAAGGAGAACCTAAGGAAAATGGAAAATAAAGCACCAAGAAGGGCGAAATGCAAAAGGAGTCTGTGTGTCTGCTTCCAAAACAAAGAAAAGGCAGGAGAAAGAAAAATAGAATGTGCCCATAAAAGCTACATAAAATGGGACTCTCACTTGAAAAAATTAAGATAAACTCCAGCACACCTTGTGCGTTGTACATGCTGACAGAAGGGTTGTTACAGACCGCCGGTTCCCCAAGCAATGTATTATAGGGATTGTTAGTACCATGCGGACGAAGCAGAGCATTGCTTATAAGATGATTAGCCATGGCTCCTGGAGCAGCCCCATAGAAAGACAGAGAAAAAAAAAAAAGGTCAATCAGGCAAATGTGTTTGAAAAAAAGAAAGGAAACATTTAGAATGACAACAGTTGATATAGTCCTGATTACAGGCAGGCAGCTAATTAGACTAAAA